GCAGAATGGCCTACTTTTTTTTTCTCCCACATTCACTTTCTTTAAACTTAGAGCTGAAAATATGCTCTTGGATTCCATCTAAAAACTTGCAGCTGAAGCATAAATGAAACACATATGTTGTGTTTTCCCTCATTGCTAAGAAATTAATACAGCTGGGCAGAGCTTTATTGCACTTACTCCTCTTATGCACTTCTGTACAATCGACAGAGGAGACAAAATTTATGGGGTTTTGGATGGCCAGCCAGGTTATAATGGAAAAATGGCGCAGGCTTGAGGGGCCAAATGGCCTACACCTGCTCCTTATTATCGCGTTTCTGTTTCACCCTCTGTACATTGCAAGGAAAAGTTATAAATGGAGGACCAGATTTTATTCTTCATGTTGTAAAGACTGTTGCAGAGGTTTGCTGACATTTGACGTCATTACCGAATAACTTATCAAATCAGAAAGATTATAAGCGTTTTCATTGGCCGCATGCACTGTAAATTAAGTTTGAATTTGAATTTGGAGGTCATAAATTTGGGACCAGTCATATGTTCAGCAGAGTATTCAGAGTCGTTGCAGTTCCTGCAAGATTTGGAGAACATGCAAACTCATTGGAAAACAATTTAAGTTCCTGTGTCCATATCTGAAGAACATCAAGCAAGTCTTCCCAGTTTTAGGACCTAAATTCTCTTCAACTTACATTATCACCACACAAACAAATTTGCTGGAAAAGCTCAGCAGGTCTGGCAGCATTGAACAGTTCTGAGGAAGGGTCACCGGTGCCGAAACATTAACTCTGTTTTTTCCTTTACAGATGCTGCCAGACCTGCTGAGCTTTTCCAGCAAATTTGTTTTCGTTCCTGATTTACAACATCCGCAGTTCTTTCAGTTTTTATTTTACACAAGATCTGCTCACATATCTGTGTTGGAGCTTGCTCTGTACAACATGTCTGTTGGGTTTACTGACCCTTCAATACTTAGTTTATTGTAAGTGACTTGCTTTGGAATAGCTCTGAACCTTGCTGCAGTGCCACAGAAAGACAAGCCTGGCCTCTTCCAATGTGATACTTGGAAGCAACTTCAAATGACTCTTTTAATTTTTCCCAAGGTTTCTGGAATCAATCAGCAAAAAGGAGGTCTGGTAGCATCTGTGGGGACAGAAAGCAGAGTCAACGTTTCAGGTCCAGTGTGACCCTTCTTCAAAACTTCTGATGAAGAGTCACTGGACTCGAAACATTTAACTGCTTTTTCTGCCTCAGATGCTTCCATGCCTGCTGAATTTTCCCAGCAATTTCTGTTTTTGTTTCAGATTTCCACCATTTGCAGTTATTTGTTTTATTTTAGCCATTACAAATAGCCATTTGGAAGTCACTGACTTCATTGAGGTTAAAAGGTTTGTTTTGAATCTGATAACTTGGGTTGTTTCCCATAAATTATAATTATTTATGTGTAGAAGTCTACATCATGAATTGGACAACCTCTAAATTTCTTCTGAGGCAATCTACATTACTGAGGCAATCTACATTACTGAGGCAATCTACATTACTGAGGCAATGAAAGCAAATTGCTTATTTAGTTACAATTAAATAATACAGAGCATCACTTACACATAAATGTACATTCAGCAAGTAATTCCCTAAAGGGAGTCAGATTGAACATGACAAACTAAAGCTGGCTTGTCCAACATACAACCCAGGGACCAGAATCAGGCCTACTGTACCTCTCTCTATGTGGTTCACACACCCTTCGTTCAAAATATGGGTAAGTTGAAAAGCTAGATTTGCAAGGAGCTGTTCTTCCAATCAGACTCTATTAATCACAGAATCCCTACTGTGTGGAAGCAGGCCATTCAGCCCATCAAGTGAACACTGGCCCTCTGAAGAGCATCCTACCCAATCCCTGCATTATTCCCACCCTAGACACTATGGGCAATTTAACATAGCTGATCCACCGAACTGGCACATCTTTGGACTGAGGGAGGAAACCCACGCAGACACGGGAAGAATGTGCAAACTCCACAAGGCTGGAATTGAACCCAGGTCCCTGGTACAATGAGGCAGCAGTGCTGACCACTGAGCCACCTGAATGGGCTGTGTTTGCTGATTGGCCATTTGCTGTCTTAAACGAACACAAGCACCCTAAAGCAGTGATCAAGACGGCAGAGTAGTCGACAGTTATAGATAAAGTCACCATAGTCTTACTAGATGATAGAGTTAGGGCTGCTCTCTCCAGTGAGAGAGAGAGAGAGACCTGGTGGTGGTTTATTCTAAGGGTCACTGCAAATGAGGGGAGAGGTTGAGAAGGAGAGTCCTTTATGGTAACCTCAGTTGGTGCATGAATTGAGTCTATGCAGTTGGCATTGTTCTGTGTTGCCAGCCATCCAGCAGCCCCGCCTCAACCGAAACCTGTCCATAAAACAGGAAGGAAACTCCAGGCCAAAAGGCGACTTGTTTCTGAACCTCACTCTAGCTCAGAGTGTGCATCATCAGAGGCAAATGCATGATCAGTTTTAGTAAAACCCAACTTCTTAGCCTTTTGCCCCAGTCCCCACCCTCCACGATGATTAAGACCTGAGGAATAGTTTATCTGCTGTCTAACTCATAAATGTTGCCAAAGTTGGAGTATTTGAGCGAGAGGGAGAGGTTGAAAATGCTGAGGCTATATTTCCTGGAGCATCAGAGGCTGAGGTGGGTGGCACAGCAGCTCACTGGTTAGCACTGGTATCTCACAGCATCAGGGACCCAGGTTCAACTCCAGCTTCGGGTGACTGTGTGGAGTTTCTCCCCATGTCTACGTGGGTTTCCTCCCACCTTCCAAAAATGTGTAGATTAGGTGGACTGGCTATGCTAAATTGCCTATAGCGTGCAGGCTAGGTGGGTTATACTTGGGAAATGCAGCATTACAGAGATGGGGTTGGTGTGGGTCTGATAATCTTTGGAAGGTCAGTGTGGACTCAGTGGCTCTTGTGAAAAGGTTTAACAAACCAAAAAGGTTCAGCCTTCCATTATCGTGAATCCAATCAGCTTTATTTCCAATGAAAGCTTTTTTTAAAACCAAGAACAGCCCATATTTACTCATTACGGAATTGAAACAAACTTAAGAAGCCTCATATTTTGGCAGAAAACTGTTTGAAGCTCCTGCTTTTAATCACTTAGATTCCAATTCATGTCAACTTATTTTGTACAGACTTGCTGAATAATAATATACACTGTTCTTACTAACATTATCAATTTTGGGCCAAATGTAAAAACAATGATAAGAATGCCATGAACATCAACACAGCCCACCCATAAATGCAATGGAAGAACCTTTCCTACATCAAAAAAAAAAGGCTACAAACTAAGGTCAGAAAACAAGCTCACTTGATCTACCAAATTAAAAGATCTGATTATGAACAATGCCCTTAAAGTAAGAGCAGCTACTGGTTTTCCACAGAATGTTCCATGAAAATTACATAAAAATATTTTGAAGAAAACATCTGCTTTTAGAAAAATACATATAAAAATACAGATATTCAGAAGTGGCTCAAAGTTTCCTTCTGGGAAGCTTAGTAGAAATATATATATATATATAATATATATCTGCATAAAATAATTAAAAAAGTTAATTTCAAAGCATTGATCATCTGCTCACCTCTTTGGCACCAATCTGTTGGACAGCCTGTATGTCATTATTGAGCGAGATATTAATTATACATCATAAAAATCCAAGATAATTTCTCTCTGCTGGCTCATCCATAAACAAGATGGAGGCTTGCGGAGGAAGCAATTATAA